TGCCTGCAGGACACGTTGCTGTCGAGTTATTTCTGCAGGTCTACAGAGTGGATATGTTGAAGTACACTGGTTCATCAAAACGTGTCCCGATGTTGTAACGTCTTGGCATTATTATATTTACAGACATTAATACCTGCTAATATTGCCTTTATATCTGTCCTGAATGGGACAAAGTACAAACCATATGTATGTCCGATTCGAGTCTACGGTGCATTGTACGTTTCGTACCTGAAACGCCTTTTTATCAAATTCAAAATTTCGCATTCAAGGATCGCCCCAGCTGCGGTATTTCTCTTACCTAATTTCGCCTACCCTACGTCCATTCTACCAATGAAAAAGTTGTGGATGTGGATGTCCCGAATTCGACGAATATTAAGCACTCTCTTTAGCTGTACAACATTGTGACTACCGCTGGTTTGTGCAGCATGTGAACATCATTTCTTAAGAGAACCCATCTTACCAACCGAGTTATCTATGGCAAATGTCATCAATCATCTGCACCACCAACCGTTTTACTCATCCTCGAACTGTCTACTGGAGGTTGTGTGGTGCACGCTGCTTCTGTATCGATCCCAAGTGCATATACTTCTGTGACTCCCGAGCGTTCGTCTTCCGTTGGAGCGTTAGTATAGTCTGTTGTTGGCCCGTTACTCTGTCTTTCTTAGTAATTTTATGCTACTGACTTTTGGCACAGTAGTATCTGCCTTTAACCTTTTAAACGACTTACATTGAGTTGTCAACCCCCAAATACAGAGTCAAAGGAACGCGTTGCTCATCGTGGATGAACAAGTGTTCTCACCCATGTGACGCAATTAAGATCGCGTCCCCAAACTGATCGCCTCTCTAAGTTCAATCCTGCTCACAACGCAGAAAACACGGCGTCTGATTTGTCAATTTATATTCGCCCGGATCGTCTCATTGCGCGTTCCCTGAGCGATTGTACGTTTGCTCTCCAGTCGTAGGCAGGACTGACTGACGACTTCTTTTACTGAACAATTGCCATTGTAAGTTCGAGCGCACATAACAACCTCGAATAGCATCTATGGCAGGCTCGTACTTCGTACCGAGGCTTCACTGCCATGGGATAAGCAACAGTCCCATGCGGACGAAGGATAACGCACAGTTGTCCGGATCGGTGGTGGCCTATGAGTTACATATCAGATGCCTGAGCTGATCTGCCACAGGCCGAATCCATACTTTCAGCACGACGCTTTACCTCACGTCAACTTGCTGAAATCCCTCAAGACATCATCAGCACCATTGCCTCCGGATTACGAGGGAGGATGTGTTGGCAGCTCTATCCTTTGCGATGATCCTGTCGGTATAGGTCGCACTGCCCTGACTGTGTACGTAAGTGCATCTGTGTGTAGAAGAAGACTTGCGATGAAACCTTTTTCGATAATTCTCCTCAGGCATTTACATTTATAAGAGAGGTTAACAAAACACAAGAGGATACCTAAACATGGTGGAGCGACTGGTCGGATCACACTTTAAGAAAGGCTAGTGATGCCAATCGATAGGTTAACCAGTGCAATTAAATGTAGAGGTTACGCGCGTGCACACACAAAGTAAGAATGAATTTTTCGTTTTAGCAACAAAGCCAGAGGTCACTGTTAGATACGGAGTCCATTTTTCCGACCAAACCAAAATGACAGCTTGTACAAACGTCCTCTGCTTATATAACTCCGGTTGCGGTAATCAGATTGCCATTGCTTTGGTGGTAACCAGCAGGCACTTCCTGAATCCTCTGGGGTTACGTTTCCATACCCTGTAAACTACTTTGAAAGCGTAATCCGTCCATATCGGATGTCCAGTACTAATCAGCTGTTCAAAGATAGAGCTGTGGACATTCCTAACCGTGACATGTTGTAAGGAGGCAGGCCAGTATTCTGCTATCCACTTAGACAGATTAATGATCGTGTGTCTGAGGTGCCTAGCACCGCAGGTGCAGGTGCGCTGTTTGCATCCCCACGGTGTCTGATATTGGATTGTGTGACGCATATAGATTGATCCCTCGCCTCCGCGTGTTTGAACTCGATTCCACCCGGTTTTACTAACCTGTAGTAGTTCTCTGCCGTTCGATGGGTGTTATTTGTCTTCACCGCACGATTTCGATCTTATTCTCCGCGTTCCACATTTGGCGCACTCTTGGATTCATGGGTTTGCTGCACCGAAGAAAGAATTGTTGAAACGCTTCCAGGATGTGCCAGCACATGTATTTCCGTGTTACCTCGTCTCGCTATTGGAAATGCGGTCTTCTATTTCATCAATGACATCAGCTGCTTCCTGTCTCCTTAGTGGACGATGGCCTTCTGTGAAATTAGTGTGCAGACACATCGTTCGATGTATATGGCGGTATAGCGGATTAGGCGTGTGACCTGATACCCCTGCTCCCTGGGTTTGCCTCTTTGCTTCTGCGGTCGCCTTGCCACAGAGCACTGATTTGCTGCAAACACCCTTTTATTCACGTGGTCCTTTTCACATTTCCCGTTTTCATTTGTAGGAATCTTTGGAGTTATCAGACGACGCAGGTCAGGAGAACAACTTCTCACGATTGTCCGACAACGTGCTCGATCTTCTTGAGTTGCAATTCACCGGTTTGAAATTGTGGCACACCATGGAGCCACCACCACCACCGCCTTCGTCACAAAACACCCAAAGCGCAGAGGCCACTTTCCTCCAAAGCACTGTGGCATCCTATGAAATGCTGGTACGTGATATGAGCAGGAAATTCGGTTTCTATGTTGGCCATCTTAGAGTCACGCATCTAAAATACGGTCCGGAGAATATGATCTCAACCGTTGAGCGTAGATCGAGCTCAAGTGCGTTGGGTACGCGTCAGCAACCCACCCTCAGGTGAGTCTTCATCCATTGACACTGCTATTTGGCGGTACATTTCAACGCTTTTTCCATCGACTTTACTAGGTTGCTGGTAGCAACGCTGAAACCGATGATTCATAGGCAAGACATTTGCTCTTTCTCCGTGCAGCATAATCACAACTACCTAGCTATGGCGACTTCCATCGCGCACCGTGTTGTATTCATACTTGCTCCGCGACTTATTTAGCACTATGCAAACCCTTAATGAACAGTTCGACGGCTTGGCTACCACGCGGCCACCACCACCGGCTGCTCGCCGGCTTAGCACACCACAAAGTTGTACGAACGTACACGGATTAGAACCGGCGACCTACGGAGTAGGTCGGTTTTGTAGTATCCTTCGTAGTAGTATCCTTCGTGTGTGGATACAGCAAAACCCCACTATCAACTTCTAACCGCTGGGTCAAACTTTGCTGGCAGAACTTTGAGTGCTTTCTCCTGGAGCTAATATAGACGAGGTGGTGTGTAATATACAGGTAGGCACCTTACCAACATGCACCTCAAACGCAAACACACCGGGTATATCTAGCATCGGCCAATCACTTGAAACGACAATATCAAATAAACTAAACCGTATAATGCATACAGATACGTTGACATAGCTCTTCGCTAAATGAGCATATGAGATAAATTGGTCATCAAGAAATCCGCGATAAGTTTAAGATGTCAAAAAATATATTTTAAACAAACGACAAACGCGAAAATGTTATCGAAATTAACTACTACTAGCTTAAGCGACGTGTGCAAGATAAAAGAAGAATATTGAGGTAGGCATTAAAATGAGGTAAAAATGCATTAGGACAATACAGGAAACCAACCACCTGAAATTAAGAGACTCAGCACGTAAGCAGGCGGTTAGTAAGGCGAATGCAGCGTACTTACCAACGCTGCGCCGGTTCTGCCTACGGTATATATATATATATATATATAAATATATATATATATATATATATATATATATATATATATATATGATTTGTCGTCCTCCGTGTTCCGATTTGCCATCGTTTCTATTGTCAACATGACTAACAGTTTCCTCAGCCGTGTTTGTGGACAAGCTTCCTGTAAGCATGTCATGCTGGAGTTTTATAGGCGCCTTTTACTGAGGCAGCAAATAACCGTAATGGAGTGTTCTATGGTGTGACCCTACCTGTACATACATCCGAACATTGAAGGTAATCAACTTAAATTGAGAACTGATTGCCTAAATAGGACTGCCAGCACAGCTAAGTAGGGTATACTTCTGTCAGAACTGTTTGTTCAGTTTTGGTTTGATTTTATCTCGTGTTTCTTGGGGTTTGAAAACAAAAGAGCGTGGATACTATGGTCCAAACACCCGTGAGATAAAGTGCTTGTCTGTTGCAGCTGAACATGGTTTAGCGGGGCGGACATAATTACATTTGTCAATGAAATTATTTTCAGGAGAGAAGGTTGCAAACTGTTCAGTCGTTTGTCCATCAAGTGTGTGGTCACGGAACCTCCCTGTTGCTCAATACCAGGAGGATTGACTTAAATTACTCTTTTTGTGGGTACTTAGCTGTAGAGAGGCAACTTTAAAGGCAGCATGACGATCTAACTATTTGTGTGGTTGTTGGAAGTCGGTGACCAAGCTATGCGAATCACACTGTTTTCGTACACATGGGACTCAGGGAACATTCGGAACACGGAAACTAGCACACATGTCTTGGGTGTCGTAAGTCTCCGCAACACCAAAAACCTGTTGATAGTCAGTATTTTAACAGAACAAACTAAATCGAGGTACTTCGGACGTACTGTATAGTTTCTTCGAAAAGTAATTTCGTTTTATTTTATTTTTTCACAGCCAACTTCACACTTAAGCCACATAACCGCTATACATTTTGACAGCTTATATGGCAAGGCTTGCTTGTGTTTTTGGTTGGTGCCACTTCAAATATGGGAAGTGAGAAACGACATATTTTGGTTTTTCACTATCGAAAAGGTAAAAATGCAGTTTAAGGAAGAAAAAATATTAACGGATGTGAATGGAGAAGATGTATTGACAGAACACCAGTGCTAAAACTAGTTACCAAAATTTCGATCAGGCAGTTTTGATGTAGAAGGCCAATTGAAGCTGATGAAGACAGTAATTGATGCAAACCGACGAATAACAGCTCGTGAGATCGCTGAGAGATTGAATTTATCCAATTCCAGCTTTCATGATAATTTGAAACGCTTAGGTTTAATCTCAAAGCTCGACATATGGGTTCTCCATGTACTTGCGGAAAGAAATTTGTGCCGTCGCGTTGACATCTGTGACTTACTTCTCAAACATCAAAAAATGATCCATTTTTGAAGCGCTTCATCACCGGGGACAAGAAATGAGTTGTCCACAACGATGTTAAACGCAAGTGATCAGTGAGCAAAAATGATGAACCCCGGCTCAAAGCACTTCGAAAGCTGATCTGATACTTTCTGTTTGGTGGGATTTCAAATGCATCGTGTTTTTTGAGCTTCTTCCGGACAACACAACGATCAATTCTGAAATGTACTGTCCTCAGCTGGACAAATTAATTGATGCACTTAAACAGAAAATGCCAGCGTTGATCAATAGAAAAGGTATAGTGTTCCACCAACATAATGCGAGACCTCTTACAAGGTTGGCAACTCGCCAAAAGCTACTACAGCTTGGATGGGATACGCTGTCACACCCGCTTTATTCTCCAAATCTGGCACATTCTAATTATCATTTGTTTCCGTCTCTACAAAACATTTTAGACGGTAAAACCTTTACTTTGAAATGAGTAGGTCAAAATTCACCGTGATAGGGTTTGTGGCAACAAAAAACAACAATTTTTTGAGCATAGAATCATGCTACTGCCAGAAAGATGGCCAAAGGTATTGGACCAGACTGGACAATATATTTTTTGATAAAATATTTATTTTAAACAGCTAGTTTCCTTCAGTAGTTTGAACAAGGAAATGAGAGTATTTATCTTGGCAGATGCTATAATTTCGTATTATCTCATCAGTACCAAAACAATAACGGCAATTGTTTTATAAGTCCTATAGGGCATAGTCAAGCACAATCAGTTTCATGCTTTTGGTCATTGTTGATTGCCGTGGTCCTAATACCAACAACAATGATCACAACCATAAAATTGATAGGCTTGACTGTACCCTATGCCCTCACTTCGAAGCTATTCTCAGTTGGAGCGTCTCGGCTCCCTGGTTGGAATCCGAAAGACGATAAAGACGTTTGGCTGGATACACTTGTTGATATGGCTAGGAGCCGACTTCATTGACGTCCGTGCTGTGAGTTTCTTTGTCCCACTCCATCCTTCTTAGCCTCTCCCTCCAACCACGATCTCATTATTTAGCATTTTATAATTTGCATTGTAAATTATTTTTTTCTGCTGCATAGTAGCCGGCAAGTAGCTTAGCGGAACGATGCCCATCCGTCACCGGTAGCTCAACTGACTTGCACCTGTAGCCTTTTATTCCCTTCTTTTCTTTTAGATATTGCAGCACAGTAGCTGATGTGTTCCCACCTCTAGCTAACGTGTGTAGTGTGTGTGTTTGCCTTATGCGGCTTATAAAACGATTTCCCAGTTATTGTATTGGTGCTGATGAGATAATACGAAATTCTACCATCTACCAAGATTGGTCTTCTCATTTCTTTGTTCAAAATCTTTATTCACTATAAGAAAATCGTCTTTCATTTTCATAAAAACGAAGTCACTTTCCTAATAATCAGATATATAAGTATTCCTAGTTTGAGGTATAAACCTAGACTATACCTACAGTCTGAGCAGAAAACGGTCGAGACAGAAGCACTTGTATTATAATCCTGTAACCGTGGTTCTAAATGGCCGAATAGTTTACAAGATAACACTCACGACTAGGTTTCCGACGGCAGCGGAAACGGATAACAGTAGCAGACCGGTGGAAGCGTGACCTTGAGAAAAGTGCATGCAATTGAAGTGAGTGTAAAACGATACTCGTCTGAGCATGTAATGGTATAATGCACGAAATGTATGCTATTTGCTCGGAAGGTGTAAAAAGATGGAAATATAATCACTGAGCCGTCAAGAGAGAATAATCAATATCGTAAAGGAAACCAGAGTTCTTTTGGACCATACAATTAGGTTGCTCATACAGCTTCCGCTCCCTAAAGTGATGCTTCACAAAGAAGCAGTGGCAACCAGGTTATCTATTCTCAGTTCTGGGGACCATATGGTTGGCCATATTGCCCTTGTCTCATTTTTGTGCAAGTTCCTGTTGCCTTTAATATGCATCAGGCAACTCTCAGGACCTCTAGACCATAAGACATTGCCGCAGATTGCACGCGGCTACTCATTCGTCTCAGCTTTAATCATGACTAGGATAAGGAACGGAATCACTGCTCCGCATTCCGGTGACTCGCTCGGTAGTGTACAACTTTATTCTGGGAGGGGTAGCGGCTACTAACAATGTATATATAAAGATGTCGATAAGGAACACATATAAGTACTGGACCTCAATAGCTCCGTTAGTTTCGCAGCCGGGTATGATATGATTGATTTCGAGAGTCATGGCTAGAAAGACCATGTGTTTTGTGCTACATCATCCTTCGGTCAAAGTGCTCGAGCCTGTCTATCCACATAACAACATTATCCGTTAGTGAAGAGAACGAACTAGTTAACGCAGGTGGTCCACGTGTGACTAATAGTCCAGGGCGCCGACCGAGGATTACATGATATCACTGTGATCCGCTTAGGGTCGTGATCGCTTCTTTTTTGGTGGGCACCAAAGTGTGTTGCTGATAGAACGTTTCTTGTAGGATTTCATTCCTCCTTGCAATAAGATCTGTTACATAGCTGTGAAACAATGTTTTGCCTCCAGAGTGGTCCTCAGTCGCAGCGGCACCTTATCCCTGTTCATAGTCATTAGATTGCAGAGGAGAGGATAGCTGGGGGAAATGTGGATGGCGGCTTCTATGACACATCCTCTTCAGGTGGCTTTAGTGGGGAATCTTGTCAGCGGAGATTTTGGAAATTATGTATAACTATGCCTATCCATTACTAGAATGCAACCTTGTTCAATCTTCTGTATCTTCAACGTACGTAATAAGATCACCCGTGCGCTAGGCGTTAGGTGATCTGGTGACTCTTAATTACGTGTTTGGCGCAAACACGGTTTGTGATCGATTGATACGAATGGAAGGCTATCTCTGCTTATACGTAGTTTATTTACGCACATAAACAATAACGTCACATTGAAGTTCATTGCGCTTACATAGGTTCCAGCCCTTCTTCTTGAATAGGTTTTCAAGCACTAGGTGCCTCGGCGAATTCGTATTTTTCGGTTTGGTTCATCGCAATTAGATTCCAAGCCGCATAGGTAAGCCAACAATCCGGAAAAGCACCAGACGCGCATTTCGCCCTATTGGGACTCGTCAGTGGTGCGCATCCATCCATACTCTAATGGGGACCGAACCCATGAGCGCTAGAGGCTAACGCCAACTAGCCAGCAGCTTATGCCACTGAGCCATGGGGGACGACAGCCGACTTCAGATTTACCTATCTACGATCACTAATTTTCAGAGCGCTTCATATGTGTATTCGAGGAAGGCAACTGATCAATATACACGAAATTTCTCGTTTGTTTTCATCCAACAATCCATACCATGATATACTTTTTTAACTTTAGTCATCCATCATGTTCCTCCGTGTGTGTGTTTGGGATTCTCATTCGCAGTCCCATTTGTGTCATTCCAGATCAGGAAATCGCGCTTTACCTCGTCCACGGTACATACGTCGCCCCGAACCCTCATTCGTAACTTGTTTTATCAGACCGTTTGCACACACTGCGATGCTAACTCGACTACTGCCTTGGAAATCGCGCATCCCTCCTCTTTGTCTTAACGCTGCATGGGTTTCCTGTGTGTGTGTGTGTGTGAGAGAGAGAGGGGGTGTGTGACTAGCTTGGTCCTCTCGAGTTTTGTTGCATTAAACTAAATGTCGCATGCGCACCAGCTTTTGTGGTTCATGTGTGCTAACCACCTTCGGGTTCATCCATTCTGTGCTTAATTTCGTCATATCAGTTCATCCCTCTGAACCACGCAACTTCTGACCCTAAACCTTGAGCGTGTCATCGCGTTGGTTGTCATGCGGTTTTCATGCTCTGTGTATGATAGCACGTAAGCAAACAAAAGCGCCATTTTGCACTCAACGTCCATTTGTGGCTTGCTCGTGTCTATCCACCGCGTCCCTGTTGCTTAATCTTTCGTGACTACTGCAAAGAATGCAAGTAGTATCATTCATCACACCTCTCGAGCGTCCACTTGACTACCTGGTCTAACGTTGGTTTTGTTTTCCCACCGTTTGTCCACCTAGTTCGTTTCTAGTATCTTTATTGCAACCGTCCTTTTTTCCACAGCTCCGCTCAACCGCCCAGCACTCGCGTTTTCCAGAAAGTTGAAAGTCTGGTCCCCACAGATTCCGGTTGTGCCAGTTTGCGTCTAGATCGTTCACGAGTAGGTCCAACTTTGATCGCATATTCATGCGCGCATCCCACACGATCTGTTTATTTATTCTACTCATTTTCGTGGGTGTTCATCGCTATTTTGTCATCTCTTGTACTTGCCCCTTGTGTTGTTTACCGACCCGGTGGCCGAGTGGCTCAAGCATCCGCTTTGTAATTTACCAGTCACTGGTCCCAGTCTGAGACTGAAATAAATAATAATCGCCAGCTGTGCGCCGTAATGGCCCTTCGCTGCCACGCGAACACCACCAGTCGCGCGTGGGCTGAGAATAGCGCGAGAATGCCCGCCCCTTCGCGGGACTGTATTTAAGAAAAGTAGAAAAGTTTCTGTACAACTCTATCGAAGTATGAGACATCAAAAACATTTAGTTGTGAATCGTCAGCGGTTGTGTTTGATCAGTTAACCGTTTATCCTTGTTCGCTTAGGAATTCGTATTGGTGTCGTTGTTAATGGCTATATTATGTCTTCTTTTGGCTTTGTATGTGCATCGTTACATAAAAGCACAGGTTTCCGAAATAATCGTCGGTACGGGTTTTAAAACACTTCACAGAATCGGCCTCTATTAATCCTTCTAATAGTTTGTTCCATAAGTTTATGATTCTTCGTTCTATACAAAGCTGATGTGATACCTTGTTCATGCGATCGACCCTGAGTTTGTAACGGTGTCATCGGGTGTTACAGGGTTTCCGCAGGTGAAATATTAGCCGCAGTATGGGGAAGTGATTTAAGTGTAGTACTCGATGGGTCATAATAGGGTCAATTCTTACTCGGCGGTAGGATAGTGTGTAGAGCCCCAGCCTTTCGCAACCTTTTTCATACGGAAGCTTTCGTAGACTCAGGATCATTCTAGTTGCGATATGCTGTATTTTCTCCAACTTTTCAGTTTCCCACTGGATTATCGGTTGGCAAGCTGGGGCACCGTATTCAAGGATTAGTCTAATGAGCGATATGAATATGCGAAGGACAGTTTCTTCGGACCATGTGGAGAAACTGCGTCTGAATGCCCAGAGCATACGAAGTCCTGCACGGTACAATTTCTCTGTATTTTCAGGTCCTCTCATATCATGTCGCGAGAGCACTCCTGAGTCTCAGATAGATGTGTTAGGATGGAGTAACTGGTTGTCCAAGGTGTATGATCGAGTGGCTGGACGTCTGGTGATACTGATGAACTCAGACTTGCTTGCATTAAGAGGGAGTTGCATTTCAGTGGACCACGTTGACGGTCGATCTAAGTTATGCTGGATGCGAGCGCAGTCGTCCTGGTTCTCAATGGTCCTCCAGATTTTCAAATCATCTGCAAACAGGGCACATGGTGACTGGAGCTGCCGCGGAAGATTGTTGATATGAATACGAAATAATACTGGCCGAAGTACAGTTCCTTGAGGCACGCCACTAGTCGATGGGAACCAATCTGTCAGGTGGTCATTGAATTGTACTCTAAACTTCTGTCCCGCAATAAACTCGTGTAACCACTGAAGTAGCGTGTCACCGATTCCGTAGGTCCTCCGTTTACGAAGGAGTACCTTCTGGTTCACTGTCAAACACCTGACTAAAGTCGATGTACACCACGTCAACATCCTTCTGTTCATTGAGAGCTCATACCCACTGGTGGTTTGCGTACATCAAGTTGGTGATGCAGGGTCGCCCTTTCGTGAAGCCGTGCTGAGCTGGCATCGTTACGTCCATCGATTCGAAGAACGACAGCAGACACTTTTTCACGATCTTCTCGAGAACTGGATAATACGGAAGTCAAACAGATTGGTCTATAGTTCTCTATTTTACTCGGATCACCACCCTTGGGAAGAGGTCTCACTATCGAGCATTTCCAGTCGTTGGGGACAGATCCTTCAGAAAGTTATTTATTGAATAGGTTTGTCACGGCTGGTGGGATGATAATCGATAGGGACTTGAGTATTAGTGGGTGAAGTCCATCTGGTCAGAGGGGCTTTGCACCATCGAGGTTGACGAGTAGCTGCTACACTTCGACTGCATCACATTGTAGGCTGCCGAACAAGACTGGCGTAACCTGTGCCGGTACTGAAACAGCCGTCGGTTTACTGGAAAATACGGTGAGGAAGTGCGTAGCCAAGGCGTCCGCACTTGAAATTAGCGTCCGTCCGTCCAAGCTCCCTAAGACCGGTAGGTCACCCCCAGGCAAATATTCTTTTGGGTGTAGTTGTGGCCGAGGATGGCAGCTCCTCTTCGAACTGTCGGCGTTTCTTGATCTTTGCGGTGTTATATAAGTTACGCTGTTTCTTGTACACCGTGTAATCTTCATCACAACCCGGGCTGATGTATCTATCCCAAAGTTTGTGACGCCGTCGCGCTAACTGTCTATATTCCGTACCAAACCAATGCGGTTTGACAGGTTCGATTTTTGAATACTTCCGGGTGACGAACCGAGTACACAGCGAGTTAATCTTCTCCTCCATTAATGACCAACAGGCATCAAGCGACGCATCCTGTGGTAGTGTCCAATCAGTCTGACTTGCGGCTTGGACGAGTCCGTTGAAGTCCGTCTTCCAATAGTTGAATGTCGGCTTCCGTTGATTGTAATACGGTAACGACAGTACCATGCTTGCCACGATGGAGCAGTGGTCACTGTTCGCCAGAGGTTCGATGACTCTGATCTCTTTTAGCTTCTGCTCGCAGCTCGTAAACATTAGGTCCAGACAAGATGCCGAATGCGGAGTAACGCGCGTCGGTTAGATGAAATGTTGCGTTTCCCTGATTTCAATAGTCATTTTAGAGAATTGTGCCTCAACGTAGCCATGACCGAGAAGAAGTCGAACGTCTGGCCAAAATATCTTAGATAAATTTAGATCCCCCATCAGTAAGAACTGCGGGCGGCTCATATGCTTCAGTACATGTGGTAGGCAATCGCAACAACGGTTTAATGGGCTACGGTAGATAACACCCACTATTAGTTCTGCGCGTCTGAGGTGGATTGTGCACCACAATTTCTCGCATAAATTATCCTCGCTCCGATAGGTGCTGGTAAGTTTGCCAGATAGTGACGATTTTATGTACAACCGGACACCACCGTGAGCCTTTGATTTTCGGTTGCATCGGAAACAAGAGTATCCTGACAACTCGACTTCTTGGGGTATGACGTCGGAGTTCAGCCAAATCTCTGCAAGTACTAAAACGTCCGGCCGCTCCGAGACAGCGACGCGGCACAATTCGTCACGTTTGTTCATTAGGCTGCACACATTGGCGAATGCCACACGGAAGTCCTGGGAGGTACTGCGGGACATACCTGCAGGTTGAGCAACCGATTGATACGGGTTCGTACACCCTTCTTGATCACCCGAAAATTTACAATTTGTAGGTCAGTCTCACTTTCCTCTGTACTGCGTTTGAACTCAATGACCGCAGTCTTCAAACGATCCCTGTCTTCGGGTTCCAAGTCTCGGCGCATGTGAACTTTTATGCCTTTCAGCCCAGAGAGCCGAGAGAGTATGAGCGGCGGCATATTGGGACTTGAAAACGTGATTCTCAGAGGTCGATATGACTGGTTAGTTTTCTGGCCAAGTCGGATTACTTGTTTAATCGTCACACTGTCTTCGTCCACATCCAAGAGTCTTTCGACGAGCCCCTGGAGGAACTCAACATCGTGATCATAACGTATCTGAGGGTTTTCATCTTTTGACTCTGGTATGTGGAAGACCATGGGATTATGACGCCGCAGCGAAATTGGTGATGAACCTGTGGAAGCAGAACTAGAGGCGCTTATCTAATTGGGTTGTTGTTTATCAGCAGGTGACGTTTGAACTCGATTACGTAGGCCCTTGCGCTTTTGAGTGGTCCATGGATCCTCGGTGTTCAGGAGTTCACAGACGCTCTGAGAAATTCTCCGGCCGATTAATGAAGCGGCATTTCGTAGGTTCTGATTCTGAGCTTTCTGTCGGTGGAGAACATTGAGCCTGGGGCTCGGCTGGGGTCGAAGACACTGGTGGTGGTGTAGATCGCGGAGTGACAATAGAAGCTGAGGTGACAGAGGTACTTTCACGAGGACGTTTGATTCCGCGTGGTGAACGGTTTGTTTCTATCTGAAAGAGAGATTTTTCTGTAGTTATTTGCGGTCGCTGCGTATTCCGATGTCTTGTACCGCGATATTTATCACATATAACTTGAAAAACCGATGTCGGATGTCGAGCGATTTTCGAAACGTCAAAGGATAAGCCAATGCATGAAGTATGAAACAAAACATCGCAGCCAAAGCACCGAAGTGCATGCGCCTTATTTCTCACAGCTTTCAAACGCGAACCACAAGTAGCTTGTGACGGTATCTTAAGGTACGGCAAATCCAAGCTGGTGGACACAGATGGCAGTTAGGCCAATCAATGAGATCTCCGGAATCAGCCAAAATATATCCACCAAGTTTGCACTGATTGGAAAATACCCTTAAAGAAGAATATTGGTGCACAATTCACACAGACAAAACTAATAACACAGTAATCTGGGGCGAAAGTAGTATCCAGCACATGCTGGTTCCAAAATGCGCGACGTCAGTGGGCACAGCCGTGTGTGTGTGTGGTAACCTCACAGCATTCTTGACCCGCACCCGATTTTTGGTGATCGCTTGGCTGTACAACGTACCGTTGTTGCCTTGCGTTTTGTTTTTGACTCAATGCACTTTTTGTGAAAGCAACGAGAAAAGGCAAAAATTGCTCTACAATGGGATTGTTTGTCGTAGTAGGCTTGGAACCAAATTCCAATGTGTGCGCTCTCTTCATGCATTTTGACTTGTGGTTGCCTAATCATGCTTGTATTTCCACTGATTCGCATCTTTCCGACCACGCTGAGTGAAGAGTGCTGGCGACGATGGAAAATGTGCTTCATCAGAGTTGTCATATTTTTCGTTTGTAAAATCAGCTGGAGTTTTAAAAAAGGGAGATTAAATGAAATCACATTGTATAATATATCTAGCTGCGTAACCTAGCAATTGTTTATCAGCTTTTCTTGAGTACCTAATAAATGAGCCGACTTTCCATGCACGGAGGATCACTCCTGTGTTCTCACCAATCCAGTGACTTTAGGCCTTTGTCGTTTGAAACAAGGGAGTCCAACTACGGCTCACATGTGTTCTTTGGTCAACCATTTGCAATGCCGTCTCATACCGTAGACTAGATGTCTGCAATGTGAGAATGATCGGATGAACCACTACGTGTCATCTACCCAGTGTAGCGATGCGCTGAGAGGCACAGACTATTCGTGAACAGCATACTTAGTTGGAGAAACTATATCTAACTTGGTGAGGTTTGATGAATCCCACATCCGAACCTTTAGTCTAAGCCTCCGTTCCTGAAAGCGTTTGGCTACTGATGCAAGACTGGGGATGGCGCGAATTTAAGTCACTGACAACTAGGTTCGGTGCCGTTGGTCCGTCTCGCTTTCCAGGCTGGAGTCAAGCTCTTGGTGATCGGTTGGAGACTCTCCAGGACACGTTACGCAGCCGGCACCGGTCGGGTGTTTGCTGTCGCTTCTTAGCTGGGTTGCTTGTTCAAAGTGTGTGATGCTGTATCACATACGGAGTGATGTCTGATAATGCCGCGGCGAAACTGTCTCGGCGATGTCGCCTTACCTTCTCATAATAGCCAACTGTTTGAGACCATGTGTTGTTGAAAGGTGTAAACACCTTAACCCTGCGTGTTTGCACAGGGCGCTCAGGTGTTATAATAGGTCCCCCTACTTCTTATTATTCTTTCCTTAAGTCTTTATGGTTGTGTGTCAGCGAAGCATCATTTCAACTCACCGATATACTGATCTCGACTGCGATGATGATGACTGCCTACCTCATGCAGTATCTCAGCCTGCGTACAATGGCCCGCTGCCGCATGGTGACGAAGTATTCTTGGATAGCACCAGTGGTACGCAGCTAGCGGTACCTTTACCTTTTATTCTTCAATCACCTTGAGCGTTTCTCACATGCCCATTCGCCACCATGATCTTAGAGTATTCATGTCTGTTCAATTCCGTTTGTGCTGAGCGGTCTCCTTTCCGCAACGAGGAACGTTGGCGACATATGGCTCGCAGTCTGACCACTATCAATCGTTCCTTTCGTTGTAGCGCCTCTCACAGAATCACACTGTCTCCGGACACAGCACAGAGATAAGAATGGAGTCACCAACGATGTCTCTATGCATTCACAAACTTGACTTTGGAACTTTTATGTTTGTTTTGCGATCAACTCATCGGACATTCATTTGTCCACGTTTCTTCCATCGCCCGCAATAGTTGAACGCAGTTGCACCAGAACGATGGAAGAGATTAAATTCTTTGAAGGAATGACCACATTCGACTCCGCTCGTTCACTAGGGTTCAAGTGTCTCCTGCCCAGCGAACATTTGGTTGTCGAGGTTACTCTGCTCGACGTTGTGGTCTATGATTCCAACCACCGTTATAGGTCGTCATTCACGATGACTCTTCAAAAAGGAAAAGCAGACGTCCTTACTCGGTTTCATTCTTACTGACGATTGATCCGGCTGGCCTTCGATGCAGCTGTATCTTCATCCTTGATAAGGCGAAGCTCAGCGTTTCTGAGAACACCGCTGTACAGCGGACTCCAATCGGGATAGCTACCATATGACATTGTCCCACTCATATGAACCAGTTGTCTGCAACCTGCTGATATGAACTGTTTTGCTCATAAAATCGTTGATTTGGTTTATTTTTTACACAGTATTCTTTTCATTTGACAAATATCTAGTGTTTGTTAAAGCGAATTCCAATCGAAAACCTTCTTTTATGTCTTGTTCCACAGTCCGGAGCACGTGCAAGCCTCGATCATGGGTCGTACTATACCAGCGATGGTAAGTCGGACCTCTAACACTCGCTATTTAAACGCACCTCGCAGTAACCTGTTTATTTTGTCACTAATGCATGATGATAATGCTCTGTCGGAGTGAGGGGTGACGTGGTCTTCTAGATTGCACACTGTTCACGATATATGCACGTGTGAATTGCACAGTTTCACCAGGTTATGGGGTAATTGTATTAGAATAGGCTACTTTCTATTAATAAGTAGTATACCGTACAGCATCGAAGACGGTAAATTCCGGTGACTGCCCACGCAAATCGTTAGCAAGCAAGCAGTCAGCAGTGATGGACACGCGGCAACCGAACGCAGATGTGTATGCCCGTTAACTGTTAAAATGCTCACATAGATACCCCTTAGTTTCACCTCAAACAGTTTGCTGCTGTCCTTCATTTTTAACGACTTTGAATGAAACGCAGCTGTTTGATTGGAGAACATCGGGGCCTCACATTGTCGCGAGTCTACTGCGCTCGTTCGATTTTGGAAAGGTACCAACTACCTTAAGCTTCATTTTTTTCCCAATGGAAATTGCTCCAAAAACAGCATGCAACGGACCAGAGTGACGAAGTCTTGCGTTCTTTTGTTTCTTGTGCGACAGTCGCGCTGATTAGAGCGCATCGATCTATTCACGCAACCATTTTGGGATTAGATTTCATGGGCTACGACCTCCAATTACATTGTTATCATTGATTCCTTTATGTAAAAGAACGTCGCATAATTCATTGTCTCTTTAGTCATCCGAGTAGTTTTACAGGCATCCGGTGTGGTGAGGTCATCATCATCAATACAAGTTGGCGATGAGTGAGAAACACACCTCAACTAATGTGCCACAACACAAAAAGTTAAGATATTAGACATTACAGACAACAAAAACTCAAAAAATTAGCATGATGCCAAATATCATATTTTGCATTGGGTTGAGATCGTTGTTGGCGAATCTAAAGGAGAGCGGGAAAGATAAAGAAACAACACAAACGCTATTGGGGTCGGCTCCTTTCCATGTCAGCGAGTGTGTCCAACCAAACGTGTTCATCGTTCTTCGGACCCCAGCGAGGCAGTCGGGACGCCCCAACCAACGCCAACTTCTACGTGAGAGCTTTCATTTCCTCTGATCAAGTCATCGCCTGGCTTTCCCTTCTCTTTTATCCAGACCCCGGTCACGTAAACAACTTACTTCGCGGGAGTCGATGTGCTGGCATGCACAACATGCGGCCCAGTCATCGGAGTCTGGTGCGTTTTATTATGGTGCTGGGTTGTTCCCTCACTCTTCCTGTACTAAATACGCGGTGCGGAACACGCTTATTGCTCATGCGGTATTCTCCTCAGACGTGAGCTCTGCTGCGAAGGAAGCGAGACGGATCCAAGATGCTGGAGCCTTTCGCTCAGTGCGCATCACGTGAGCGGATTACTGCTCACTCATCCATTAAACGCGCACTTGGTTTTGGTTATTTCGAATCCGCGTCACTCTTATCCCGTGTGTTCAACTGTGTAAGCATGAAACACGTTTGTGTGCCCATCTGTTGGAGGAAGAGTCAATGTAAGATACCTATTCAATAAAAACAGAGCATCGTTTCCGTTCCCAATGAACTAATCGAAACTCAGCTTGAGTCCTGCTTCTTCCTAAAGAAGTAAGAAAGGCATCTGCATCCGGCACGCGTTACCGATGCGTCGCTGCCGCGCAACCATCACCAGTTGCACGTGCGCCAAGGATACTGCGAGAGTAGTCCTGCCCCTAGGCAGGTTCGAACCCGCGCCGTCAGATAACCCTTATGCTACGGGGCAGACAGACACGCGGTACTCAGCTCCCACCTGAGCACCTATTGCTCGACTGTACGTTGTTCTTACAAATCACATTAAAAGAGGCATCGGATGAGATCACTTACGCGGAGCCGGACTAATTATCATTCAGGTGTGCTTTGCTCATACTAGATCTGCGTTTCTCACAATTCAGTACATCATCTTCATCAACAGCAGTACATCAGCCATGTGAACTGATGCTTCGCTGCCATACAACCATGAGGACCTATGAAATAAAGAATAAGAAGAGGGAAAGAAGGGGGACTTACCCGAAAACCTTAATGCCCTAAGCAAACATTCAGGGTCAAGGCGCCTACACCTTGTGTAGACAACATTCCGTCACAAACAGCTGGCTATCGTGCAAAGATAACGCGGCATCGGCGAGACAGCTTCCTTGCGGCTTTCACTGCCACGCGTCATAATCAACCATTACCCCG